CTTCTTCTTCTTTTGACACAGGGTTGTGTTGTATAGTGCAGGCTGTTCCTGAACTAACTCTATAGCCTAGGCTGGCCTCAAACTTGTGGCAATCCTCCTGCCTCAGCCTCCTGAGTACTGGGATTACAGGCATGTGCCACCACACCCTGCTCATATTCCTAAAATGTGTCCTCATGAGAGCTTTACTTTTCTCATCTCTGTCTGCCTGACCCATGAATTCCTACTTGACCTTCAGATCCAACTGACCTAAATGCGTCTGGAGTCAACACACTCTTGTCCTTCTCCCTGCCTCTGCCTGGACCAGCTCTGTGGCCCCTGCCGCCTTTGCCATTGCTGCCTTCTGCTGCCACCAGGCATGCTTTCTGGGCTCTACTGGGGACAGTCCTGGGACAGCATGGGTCTCAGTGCTGCCTCCTCATCACACTCATCGTGGCTCTTTTTTTTGAGACAGGGTTTCGCTACACAGTTCAAGCTGGCCTTAAGCTGACTTTGCAGCCCAGGCTGGCCTTGGACTCCCTGAGAGCCCCCTGCCTCAGCCTCCTGAGTGTGGCGGAGAGTGCGTGTCTGAACTCTCTGTTTCCTGTCCTTCAAAGGGCAGGCCACCTCTGGCCATATTTCTAAAACATGAACTGTCACTTCTGTCCCCTGGCCCTTTAGGGAGAGGGACAGCATTCATGTGGAGGATGTGTGATTTTTTTTTTTTTTAACATTTATTTATTTATTTATTTATTTAGTGTGTGCGCGGCCAGCTCAGCCCACCAGGGGGCGGGGCTGGCTGGCATGTGGTGCTGGGGATGGAACCGCAGTCCCTGTGCTTTGCCGAGCTTGTTCCAAGTAGGTGCTTTAGACCACTGAGCCATCTCGCCAGCCCCATGTGTGATCTTTTCTGTTCAGAGCCTTTCCCAGCTCAGAACTGGGCAACCCAGGTCCCCACCCCCACCATGTTATTTCTCATGCTCGCTGTCCCTCCTAGTCGATGCTGTTCAGCCCTCCAGCCCTGAGCCGCAGGATCCACTCTCCCCTCTGAATGACCAGCATTTAACCATACCAGCAGCTCCTGAGGGAGCACTGAGGACCACGCTTTTGCAATAAAATCACTTCTCATTTAAACAATCCACTCCAAGATTCAAAATTTAATAGGTGTCCTAAATTCAATCCCTGGTATTGAAAAAAAAATGGGGTGGAATAAATTTTTGATATTTATTTAGGTCACACTGGGAGTTGGGCTCAGGGCCTTTGCGGTGAGCTACATTCAGAGCCCTTTTCAGTTTGTTTGTTTGAGTTTTGAGACGGAGACTCCCTAAATTGCCCAGGCTGGGCTTGAACTTGCAATTTTCCTGTCTCAGCCTTCTGTCTCAGAGTGCTGGGATTACAGGCATGCACCACTGTGCCCAGCAGATTTTATTAATTTCATGGCAACTCTCCTAGATTATTCTGAAGTGAGGCAGTACGTTTGGGCAGCCGGGCATGTCCAGCTGGGCTCCTTCCGTGTAATGCCCTTCATGGTTATGTACTTCCCTTCATCCACTCACACCTAGCAGTGCGGATGCTTAGGAGCGGGCTCCTATGTGGTAGGCAGGTGCTGGAGTGGGCCAGAGCCTCTCTATCCTACGCATAGACTTCACCTTTCACTGTGTGCTTATTTGTTTGTATTTATTTATTTATTTATGTCTTGTTGAGACAGGCCCTCGCTATGCAGTTCAGCCTGGCCTTGAGTTCACTTTGTAGCCCAGGCTGGCGTCAGACTCACAGCGATCCTCCTGCCTCAGCCTCCCGAGTGCAAGTGCGAGTGCAGGGATGACCGGTGTGTGTCCCTTTGTCCCTTTCCTTTACGTCGGTGTCGTTCTTATCACTCACTGTCTGCTGTGCTCCAGCCGACGCCCAGAGCCTTGTCCCTGCCAGGCCAGCTCACCGCGCTGGGCCACACACCCAGTCTTTCTATGTATTAATTTTTAAGAAGAAATTTAAATCTTAAATTTTAAACGAGTCTCCTATTTCGAGGTCAAATTTAAAACCAGTCCCCACGAGCTGCTCCGCAGCGCCTTCCGGGCGGGCGCTCGCGGCGCAGGCGGCCTCCGGCCGGGGAGGGCGCTGTGCGAACCGGGCTGGCTGGCCCGGGCGGACCGAGGCGGG